CCCTTGGGCAAGGAAAAGCCGGACGACGGCGCAGAGGGGGCTGGCGGCGCGACCGGGGGCGGCGCCGGCACCGGCGCGGGTGCTGGCTGCGCCGGCGGGGGCGACGGCCGGGGCGACAGCCGCGGCAGCGGCCCGCTGGGCGCCTCGGCCGTCCCGCAGACGCGGGTGGGCAGGCCCATACTGTACTGCGGCGGCACCCCGCACTGCCCGAGCCACTGCGCGTTCCACCGCAGGTCGGCCGCGTTGCGGCTGAAGCGGCAGGCCCTGCCGCCGTCCGGCAGCGTGACGCTCGACCAGCGGACCCACCGCTGCCCGGGGCCGCAGCGGATGCCTCTGTAAAGTGCGCTGGAAGTGGACACGCCGCCGCACTTCACCGGCGAGTCGAGCTGCCCAGTGTACCCCCACAGCTGGTCGGCCGGGATGCAAGACTGCTGGCCGCTGCCGCCGCTGCTGCCGCGGCGCCCCACCAGCGACTCAGCGCAGAGCTGCGTGGGCAGCTGCTGCGCGACCGCCGGCGCGACGCCGCACGCGCCGAAGTTGGCCGCGTTGAAGCTGCCGCCGGGCGTGCGGGCGCGGTACTGAACGCAGCCGGCGACGAGCGTGCTGTTTGCCGCGTAAAAGGCGTACATGCCTATCCAGCTAGTGGCGGTCATGTAGGTGCCGCAGCGCTCCCCAAACCAGGCGACCTTTGTGACGCCTGGGATCCAGCAGCCGGGCCAGTTGATGCCGACCGGGTTGGCGACCGTGCCGGCCAGGAACGACGGCGCCGCGCACGAGGGGGCAGCTGCGAGGCGGGGTTGAGGGTGTGCAGGGGCGGGCGGTTGTGCGCAAGGATCCCTTGTGTGCGACAGTCGTATGCCAAAGTGGTAGAATTGCACGCACAGAACGCCATTGCCGGGTGGCACAATGGGTGCCACGTTGTGGGTCCCATATATTGCTGCAGCCGCTGCGCAGGCGGCTGGGCTGCATGGGTGCATCTCGCCACGCCCCGCACCACATGCCCCTCTCCGTCGCAAAGCGCCGTACCCCCCTCACCGGCCGCGTTGCTCAGCGCCACCGAGATGACCCTGTCCTCGATGACCGAGCTCACGCCCGCCGCCGCCGTCATCGCCCGCTTGACTTGCTTGCTGTCCAGCTGCTCTGACACGACCAGCACCGCCCCCAGCGGCGGCCGCCCGGCGAGGCGCCCCGCGGACCGCGCGCCCATCCCGCCAACCTCGGACGCGGCGACCTGGCTGCCGAGGACGTGCTCCACCTCGAACTTGCCGAACTCGGTGGCGGCGACGCTGGCGGCGCTCATGCGGCCGGAGGTCGCAGCAGCGCGCTTGGCCTTGCGGGCGGCGGTCGCGGCCACTGTGAAGACACGCCGCTGGACTCTGGGATCAGGAGCAAAACAGGCAAACATTTGTGTAAGGCCGACCGGCTCGTGGCGCAGCCTTATGTGCCGCATGGCGTAGTGGGGCGTCAGGTCCTTGGGGCCGGCGGGGGTATGACCGCGCAGGCTTTGCCATATTCGTGCACAGAATGTGCAACAGCATCAACGGTCGCAACACTCACCCTGCGATCGCGTCGGCGGTGCTGGCGTTCGGCGCAAAGGTGACGATGAAGCGCCCGGGGATGGGGTCGCCTGCGGTTTTGCTGCCTGTGGAGGGTTCGGCGCCGGCGGCGGCAGAGGGTGGGACTCGATCAGCACACATCGCAACCCAGGCGCAGTGCGGCGAAAACTTGTCGGAGGGCAGCCCCCTTCTGCACAATTTTCGGTCACCTCGGTCTCCCTGTGCCATGGCCCTTGGGTTGACGGACCCATGTGAACCTTGTATCACGCCATTCAACACGCACCTCGCACAAGTGCTCCGGGTGTAGGCCCCTGACCCGCTGCCGCAGCCGCCGCCACCACCACCATCGATTGCGCAGAGTACCCGGGCTCGGCGGCCGGTGCTGCCTCCGCCTCTGCGCCTGCAAGGTCATTGTCTGTTAGGGCATCCGCCTGCAGCGACGCTGGGCCCTGCGCCACCACAAACCCCGGATCAGCAAGCGGCTGACTGCCCCCTTGTGCGACAGGCGCGCCGCCCAAGCTCGCCAGCAGCGGCGGCGCGAGCTCGAACCCGTCGACGTCCAATATTTGAGAGCTGGTTGAGCATACTAAATATGCGATGGCTATCAGTAGGGCAAGCCATCGAGTCCTTCTCGCGGCGGGTTCAGCCGCTCGGCGAGGGCCCAGCATCGCACAGGGGAGACGGATGTGGACGCCTGAAGCCGTGACTGCGTGGTTGGAATAACTTATTGCTGTTGGATGGCGCACCCTGGGATGCGTTCGACCGACTCCTGGCCGCTTCGCAACTCACAACGCCGAGCTGACTGGGAACGGAGACCAACAGACCTCTTGAGGCAATAAAATTATGATGCAAATTACTGTGATTAAGCTCTCACAGGCGTCTGCCTGTGGAAGGTGCACACAGGTGGGTCCCGCGCGGGCGCCCGCTGCATGGTGCCGGGTGTGGGGTGTGAGCGGCCCAGATTGGATCCTTGAAGGGAACAGGTGTGTTGTATGCGTGTGAAGCCGATACTTGGATGATGTGCTGGACAGGTGGGAAAGGAATCCCACACCCAAAGCCAATGTGCCTTGACCGGTGCGTCGTACCCTGCTGACACAGCTGAGGTACGGCTTCCTGTTGTTTCTGGGTGGCTGTTGTTGGCGGCGCTGTACCACCAAGTCAGGTTCAAAGCCCACTTCATCAGAAGGACATCGTGCATGACGTCAAGAAAGCAGCGCGGTTGTTGCCAGGTTGTTGCACGATTACCAGGCGCAGCTGCCTTCGTCCCACGGGTGATCTCCTACCCGTGAGGTCGGCTGGAGGGAGACAACGGTAATAACTCAACCCGCTTAAGGCTTCACATTGCATTTTGTAGGGGATCGCGCTAGCGATAACCAGCTCACCAGATCGAGTCAGGCCGTCACTCACCCGCGCCTGTGCACATTCAATCGAGCGGCCTTGTATCGAGGGCTCGTATTTTGTTCAAATCAGTGTTTCAAAAACAACGCTTCAGACGAAGTCACCCACGGACAAACAGTCCCGTTCGCTGGTGACAAGGACAGTTCCCCCGCTACACGGTCCTGGCAACGATCGGAATGGGCCCTGCCGGGCAACGGCGGGTCCTTGCTGGGGCCTTCCTGCTGTTGCTGGCGGTCAACGGCGGCCACGCGCAGAACCCGGCGACCGCGACGCCACTCCCGGCCCAAGCAGCGCCAGGCGCGCAGCAGCAGGACTGTGACCAGAAGGCCGCGCCCGCCGCACCGGGGCCCGTTAAGGCCGTGATTGTCAATGACACCGCCGTGAACGTGCGTGGCCGGGGCGCCTTGGGCGGCCGGGGCGGGCGCAAATGATGCTGTTGAGGGTACACCTTCCGGGTCTCGTCACCCCCATGCATGCATTCCAGCTGCCCTCAGCTAAGACCCGCCCGGCTTCGCGCCGCCCGATCCCTGCCGTGGGCCCTTCTCAAATACCAAATCACCCATCATCGGCCGCTTTGCGGGCAGCCTCGCGGCCGTGAGCGCTGCCGCCGCTCACCGTGCACATCGCGGCACGTTCATGCGGCCGCCCCCGCCCACCCCCTCACACACTCGCACCTTCCCCCCGCCCGCTACCAGGTCCTCTGGCTCCCGCCAGAAGGCGGCGGCTGCGTCACGTCCTTCAAGGTATCCGCGAGGGCTGTGTCCGGCGGCGGCGCCGCGCCGGCGCCGCAGACCGTCAACGGCGGCCTCAGCGCCACCTTCGCCGGCCTCAAGTCGGGCGGCATCTATGAGTTCTCCGTCGCTCCCGCCGGCCCCGCCGGCGCGGGCCCCGCCGTGACCTCGCGCGCCGCGCTGCCGCCGGCGCAGCTGGACGCGGTGCCGGACGCGCCCGACGCGTTCGACGCCGTCGCGCTCAGCGACACGCGCGCCAACCTCTCGTGGGCGCGGCCGCCAGGGAACCCTAAGGTCGACTCCTACTCGATCACGGCGGTCCCGGCCAACGCCACAGGGTGCGCAGCTCTTACCGTTTTGCAATGACACGCTGCAGGCGTGGAAGCCTTGTCCCTCTTTTACGCGACTTTGACGTGGCAAACATATGGACGCCCCCCATGCGCCCCTGCGTGCTGCACCAGCCCCTCTGACGGACCGCTTTCTAACCGCGCCCAATCCCCCGCGCCCACATTGCCCACCGCCCGCCTTCCCCGCAGCTTCCCCCTGCCCAACGCCAAGAACCTGACGTTTACTGCCAAGGGGGACGCCAGATCGCTGGTTGCTGACGGCCTCGCGCCCAACAGCTACTATGTGTTCACCATCGTCTCCAAGTCGGCCCGCGGCACAAGCCCCGAGCCCGCAGTCTCTTTCCACAACACGCCCCCGCGCGGCGGCGCCATCCCCGCCGCGCCGAGGGGCGTGTCGGCGGCGCCGGCGGGCCAGGGCGCGGTGGCGCTGCAGTGGCAGGCGCCGGCCGGGTCTCAGCCTGATTACTACCAGCTCGGGTAAGGGGTTGGGGCTTGGGTGCAACATCAGGTGTTTTCACAGGAGGTTCACAGCAGGGCGCCAGCGGGTGCATGCGAGCAGGCTGCAAAGCAAGGATTCACTGACTTTGGTGTGCGATCTTTGAAGCGATGGTTCAACTGCCGCACACCCTGCTGGAGGGCACGCCACCTGGTATCCTGCAACGACCCCACCGCCCTGCAAACCCGCCAGGATCACCGAGGTGGATGCGTCCGGCAATCCGCTCAGCGAGACCAACACCATCCCCTACGCCAACACGTCGGCCCTCGTGCGCGACCTGACGCCGGGCTCCACCTACAAGGTGCGCACTCCTCAGCGCGGGCCGCTGTGATCACGCCTGCAGGTTGCGGGCTGCTGCTTCCCGTGTGTGTATGTGTGTGTGTGTGTGTGTGTGTGTATGTGGGGGGAGAGGGTGACTGCACAGCATTGGCTCAACTGGCGCGGCGACTGGCGCGGCGGCCGGGGGCCGCTGCCCGACCCCCTGTCCTCCGCGGCTCGCATCTGGATTCATCATTCGCATTTTATTCTGCCCTGCTCTTATCCACCTACCCCCTCACATGTTATCCGCCGACTCACATGTGACGTAACCCTGTCACACACATCACCCATCCCAATGACACAGTTCGACGTCCAGTCTTACTCGACGTCATTTGAGAGCGGCCGAAGCGCTGATTACCAGTACACCGTGCCGGCGACCTACCAGCCGCCCCCCAACGCGCCGCGCCTTCAGCCGCCGGGGCTCGCAGCCAGGATATATGGCAGCGACGTGGAGGTGCGCGCGTGCGCGCGTATGTGCTTTTGAGCCTGCGTTGGTGCATTTGTGCGCAAATGTGTCTAGCGGTGTGGAATTACTGCTGGCAGGTGGGCGTTCAAGCACGCGTGTGGGTGGGCGCAAAGTGTGTGCGTTTGCGTGGTAGGGAGGAATGCCGATTGGTTGCCCCCACCCACAGCCACGCGTTTTCGTGGGCGTCATCCATGCTTTCCTAACTACTCGTATCCGGGCAGTGGTCTCTCAGCGTGTCGCAACCCCTTGTGCCTAAGCAGCCGCGGACAGGCGTCACTCTAACCTTGAATCACTCTCCCCCCTCCTCGTTGAATCTGCAGCTGGTGTGGGAGCAGGTGTATGGCGCCCAGTACTACATTGTGACGACCTACGACGCCTACAGCGGCCGCTCCCTGGGCGTGCAGTACAGGGTTCAGGGCAACACCCTCGCCATCGCGGGGCTGCCTCTTGGAACAGACGTCGAGGTCGTGGTCCAGGTGCGCCGCCACACCCGCAGCTTCGTAGATGAGCGTTTCCATATTCTTGACTGGTTTGAACTTGTGAACTGAAAGTTGTTTTTCCGCCCTGGCTGCTCCTCCGCGCGCCCGGCCCAACCCCGACCGCCCTGCCGCGCCCGCGACGCAACAACCCACTGCAACCAACCCCGCAGGCCTTTGGCGCGGGCGGCTACGGGCCGCCGTCATCCATTGTCGTCGAACTGCCGGTGCCTGACTACTATTATCCCGCCACCTACAGCCCCTACTACGGCTACAACCCCTACCTGCCCTACTGGTACAGGTGGGCGCACGCGCTAGACCCTGAACGCAAACCGAACGCTCTCGTCGCGGGTTCCCGGCAGCCTCGCCCGGCTGGATCGGGTGCAAGGCACCCACGACTCGGCTCCCAGGGTTCTGAATTGATCCGTTTGAACCATCCATATGCCTGCAATGGCTGGTCTCTGCTGCTCGGCGGCATCGCGGCGACCGGGTGCCCCTCTCCCTGAAAAGCATGCTGCCAGCAGCAGAGCTCCAGCGTTCACCTGCCCCCTGCCTCTCTGCTGCTGACTGGCCCGCCCCCGCACCCCCAACGGCGCATAACGCCTCAAAATCCACAACCCTGAACCCTCCGCACAGCTCCTACTACCCAGTGGGTTGGTACAACGCCTTCTTTCCCCGGCGGACCGTCTTCTTTGGCGTCATCATCGTCATCAACCCCTTCAACAACTTCTGTGGGTCGCCGCGCTAGGATTTAGGGCTTGCGTTGAATTGGGGCTTAGGCTCTCAGCCACATCCGCCCCCGACGCCTGGGCCTAAGGGCGCATGGGCAGGCTGTTCGCTCGCCGACATCCTGGCAACGTCGCTGGTGTTGCTTGCTTGTTTGAGGGTGGGTGTGAAGCATGTCAGTCCTGCTCGCGTCAAGCTTGAGTGCGCAGCCTTGCGGCCTAACCCGACAGCGTGTCAACTTGTGCGATCTCGTACGCCGTCCCAGCCTTCGACGCGTTCTGACCCTTTGTGTTCGACCTCCGCCTTTCCCCTTGCACCCGCAGGGGGCCCTGGCTGGTGGTACCACCGCGCCCGCCCCATCGACCCCCTCTGGGCCATCCGCCCGAACCGCGGCATCCGGCAGCCCACCTGGCGCGGCGGCTGGGGCGGCAGCTGGAGCGGCAGCCGCTGGTTCGGCGGCGACAGCGACAGGCCCCGCGGCGGCAGCGGCGGTTTCGGCGGCCTGGGCGGTTTTGGAAGTGGGGGGATCCGGCCGGGCACGACACGGCCTAACAGGCCTGGGCGGCTCGACCTGCCGGGGCAGCGGCCGCCGCCGACGACCCCGCCCAAGCCCCTGCCAGACGTGATCAGGTGGGCGGGGCTCCTCGGCGGGCCGCAAACGCGCGGGCTCGAGAGCTGCCAATGTTCAGGCATGAGACGACCTGTGCATGCATGATCTTGTGCTTCGCTCAGCACCACACAAGGATTTGAAACTGTACGGCAGGCAGTTGAGGTTTGAAAAACCTGAATTGACAGCACAAATAGATTGCACAAACTCTCACATCTCGCTCTCCTGTGGCCACACGATGTGCTGACCACGCCCAGACCGACGCTGCCGTTGCCCGGTCGCTCGCCTGGAGCTACCAAGCCCGAGTTCTCGTCGCCCGCCCTGTCACCTGGGAGCACCAAGCCCGCAATTACGTCACCCGCGGTGTCACCTGGGAGCGCCAAGCCCGAGTTGACGTCACCCGCGGTGTCACCCGGGAGCACCAAGCCCGAGTTGACGTCACCTGCGGTGTCACCTGGGAGCACCAAGCCCGAGTTGACGTCACCCGCCGTTTCACCTGGGAGCACCAAGCCCGAGTTGACGTCACCCGCCGTGTCACCTGGGACCGCCAAGCCCGAGCCGTCGCCCGGCGGGGCGGCCGGCCCCACCAAGCCCGACGCATCACCCGCCGGGCCTGCTGGCCCCACCAAGCCCGACGCATCACCCGCCGGGCCTGCTGGCCCCACCAAGCCTGGAGCGTCACCCGCCGGGCCGGCTGGCCCCACCAAGCCCGGAGCGTCGCCCGCCGGGGCGGCTGCCCCCTCCACGCCTGAAGCGTCGCCCGCCACATCTACTGGAGGCAACAGGCCGGCCAGGGGGTCGCCTGCCGTGACATCTTCAGGCAACAGTGAGGCGCCTGGCAACTCCCAGCCCGGGGCGTCACCTGCGGCCCCGGCTGCGGCAACCAAGGGAGCCAGGGGATCGCCCGCCGTGACCCAGACAGGCGCCGACGCGACGACGCCCGCGAGCACAAAAGGCAATCCTCGCGGCAGGAACCCACCCGCCGGGCCTGGCCCACTGCAAAGCACGGCGCCGACCGCCACCGGCAATGGCGCTCCCACCGGCAACGGCGCTCCGACCGGCTCGGGCTCAAGCGCGCCGCTCGCAAGCGCGGCGCCGGCCGCTCCAGCCAGCGGCCGGCCCAGCCGGTCGCGCGACAACGGCCCCGCTGTTGCCGGCCCCGCCACCGGAGGCCCCGCGACCGCGAGCCCGGCCACTGGCGGCCCGACCGTCGCCGGCCCCGCCGCCACCACGGGCCCCGCCGCCGCCGGCCCGGCCGGCACGTCATCACCCCCCAGGCTGCGGCCCGCGCCCGGTGCGGTGGACGGCGCCCTACCAACCGCCCCCCGCGGGGCGTTGCCGTCGCAGGGCGCAGGCCCGACGGGCGGCGCGGGCGCCTTCCCGGGCCGCGCGCGCTCCTTCGGGCCAGCGCAGGGTGCAGCGCCGAGCACCACTGTGCCAAGCACTACCCAATCGACGCAACCTGCTGCACCCAGCACCTTCACCCGAGGCCAGCCGTCTTTCCCGAGCACCACTCGTGGCGGCTTCCCGGCAGCTTCCTCGGGGGGCTCCTCGTTCCCCAGCACGTCCTTCCCGTCTGCGCCCGCCGGGCGAGCCTCTTACCCTTCGCAGTTCTCACAGCAGGGGGCCGGCGCGCTGCCCGCCTACTCCCCCGCTTTCGCCGCCCCTGGCGGCGGCGGGCCTTTCGGCGGCGGCGGCGGCGTGAGCCGCTTCGGCGGCGGCGACGGCGGCGGGCTTGGCGGCGGCGGTGGCGGGCTCGGCGGCGGTGGTGGTGGTGGCGGTGGCGGGGGAGGTATTTTTGGCAACAGATTTGGGCGGCTGTGAAGTGTCTGCCAAGCAGTGATGTGGTCCGCATGCATGCCGGCGTTGCACTGACAGGCCGGCAGACCTGATATGCTGAGGGCGGCCTGCATGCAGCCTCTCCCCGCACAGGGTGCTCGGCCTTTGTCCTGTGATACCCTTTTGTCAAACCATCAACCTGTTGCTTGTGCATGTCCTCTGATTGGTGATTTGGGCGAGGCTTCCTGCAAGCTTTGAGGCTGGGTATTGTTCAACTGCATCCAGTTTTTGGTCAGGCCCTTGACACGCTGCACTCTTGCACATTGATTGGTGTCAGCATTTGTACCGGACTGCGCCTTGCAAACGGGCTGCACCTGGGTCCATGCCTGGATTTTGTGCATCATGCAACCGGAGTAAGGCCAGGATAAGGGGTTTGGCAAAAGGCTGCTCTGTTACATACCAGCTGTGTATACAAACGAAATCAGCCAGTGTGGTGCTCCTGGAGGTCATTAAAGCGAACACGGCTGCACTAAGTGTTGGGAATATGCCTGAATGCTCCACTACAAAGATCAAGCAGGCACTAGGCATTGTGGCACCCGAGCAATGCTGGTGACAATGTGTGCTCACTGCACACGCCTTGCTTCCCACCCATTAAACAACGGCGTTATCCTTACAATAAGTGTTCATGCAATGTAGATGGAGTCCTGTGAGCAGCTTCGTTCCCCTCGTCACTGAGCGGAGATAGCAACCTTGCCACCCCCGCGATGGCACTGTCTGCGCAGACAAGAAGCAAATGGGCTCTAAATACGGCGTTTAATGTGTTTGTGGCACTGTTACTGACGGAAACGGCACCCTCACATGCGCTGGCGCAACAGGCAAGTTTGCGCATGCGCTGCGCTGCACGCATGCACGGAGCTGCACGGAGTTCTAATAAGCAGTGTTGCTATATGCAATAGGGATCACAATTGCAGCTGGATCGCCTTGACATACCACGGAGCGGGCGCCATCCCGGCGCTGCTCAGTGAACCTGTGCACACCTGATTGCAGGCCGCGCCTGGGCAGCGCGCCGCCGAGCCGATCAAATGCGCTGACAGGGTGCCGGGGCCCCCCACAAGCGTCAAGGCTCTCGTGCTGAATGATACCGCCGTACAGGTGGGCTTGGCGGCAGAGGGATCTGGCAAAAGAGGGCTCCTGCGCCGCGACAAAGGCCCACAGCACCACCGATTGCCTGAGCATGGAGCGCAACGGTCACCGATGGCGAGCCAGCCACGCAGGGAATTTCGAGTCAATGGTGCTCACACTATCACATGCTGACCACCGCCCCGCTTTCAGGTCGTATTCCTGCCGCCGAACGACACCGCCTGCTTCGACACGTTTGCCGTGCAAGGCAAAGAGCTGGGAGGCAAAGGCACGGCCCTGCGCCGCCGCAGTGTCGAGGCGCTGTCCACCATATTCTCAGGCCTCGAAAAGGGGGCGATTTACCAGTTCGAGGTTGTCGCAAACAGCAAGACCAAGGGGGACGGCAAAGCCGTGCTTGCGCGCGCTGCGCTGCCGCCCTCGCTCCTGGACGCGCGCCCCGGCCCGCCTGAGCGCTTCCGCGCCGTCGCAGTCGGCGGCACGTCGGTGCGGGTGACCTGGGAACTTCCCGCGGGCAACCCGCGCCTGGACGGTTACATAATCAACGTGCGGGAGACGAACGAGACGGGCTGGCCGTTGCCCAATGCGCCGGCACCAATGGCCCTGCGAGCGGGGCCAAAGGACACTGCGGCTGTGGTGAAGGGCCTGGCCGCTGGCAGATTCTATGCATTCATTGCCCAGGTAAGCGCAGCAGCGCAATTAACTGACTGCAGCAGTGTCCAAATCCGGAGCCTAGCAGCTCAGGCGTGCGATCGGGGGGTCGGCCTGCGGGCATGCATTCAGCGGCGGGCGCGGCCGGGGGCATCAGCCCTCAGAGTCATCCCCCAGCGGAGCAAGCCGCCTGATGTTGAGCCGACCATCATCTACTTCCTCATCTTGCCTTGCCCCAAACACGATGTGTATCACCCACACCAGGCTGTCTCCAAGCGCTATGGCGACAGCGACCCGGCCTATGCATTCAGAGGGACCCCTGCCGGCGGCCAGGGCCCGCCCAGGGCGCCGCGCAACCTCGGGGCCCAGGCGGTTGGCAACGGCACAGTGGTCCTGCACTGGTGCGCGGGCCGTCCGGCTCGCCCGCCCAAAACCCCGCGTAGACCCGCGATCACCTCGCAGCCGGCTGGCGGCCACCGGGCACCAGCCAGCTCAATAACCTGTGCTGCTTGCTTTGGTGGCACCCTGGCCATTCAGCCCCCGCCTGGCATCCTCCCCGCTGCACCCCCCACAAATCTACCCCAAAATGGCAGAAATCCAGACCCGTTTGCGTGCGCCCCATCCTTGCTGTTGCCATCGACACAGGAACATGCCTGAGGGGAGTTCCCCTGACCTATTCATGATAAATATTACACAGGTGGGCTTGGGCTCACATCACACGCTCATAGGGTTGTCAAGCGTCGCTTCTTCATGGCAGTGAAGGACTCTTTAATCTCCTGCCTCCGGCTCCTCAAGCAGGAAGCTTCGCACCGTGCCCGTTTGCACAACAGCCTCCTTGGTCAGCTGCCAGCCGCAGCAGGTTGAGAGCCTGCGAAAGTGCTGCAGCAACACTCCTGCCATCCCCTAAACAGCGCCTCACCCCTTACAATCCACCCTATGCCCAGGTGGACCCCGCCAGCGGCCGGCCCCTCAGCGCCACCAACACAATCCCCTACCGCAACACCACCGCCGTAATCGGCGAACTCGTCGACGGCGCCTCCTACAAATTTGTCGTCCAGTCGCTGTCGGTTGCCTACGACGACGGCGCGTCATCCTCTCTGACATTCATGCTCCCTGACGCCGGCCGCGCGGTGCTGCCGGCCGGCGCGCCGCGGGCGGTGCAGGGGCTGGGGGCGGCGCCCCGGGGGCCGGGTGGGGCGCGCGTCACTTGGCAGCCGCCGGCGGGCGGCCCCAGGCCCGACGACTACCTTGTGCAGGTGCACCATGAGTTTTGGTACCCGCTACATTTTCTCTTTGGAACGATCTAGCAGAAGTGCACTGCGCAACTATACGGCATGCGAATGGCGCGCACTCAACCACCCAGTTTGCATTGAGTGCACCCCAGGACGTAGTCACTCGCCTTCAATGCAGCCACTGGCTCCCCTCCCCCTGTCAGGTGCATCAAAGTCTCCTCAAGATGGCTTTGATTCAACAGCCGACTCCCCCACCCCTCAAACAACACCTGCCTCCCGCAGGTGTCGGATCAGGGCACTGGCCGCCCCCTGGGCACGAGCTACGTGACATCATCATCTGAGTTTGGGCTGACTCGGCTGCCCTGTGGCAATCCTCTGGAGGTCATAGTGCAGGTGGGTGATTGGGCCCACTTCGGGTGCCGAGGGAAACAGGGGCAATTGTGGGTAAGGGGGGATTGGCTCGTCAGCAAAGATTGACCTTCATTGGTGCTGCAGTTTTGCTGCAAAGTTTGGGGCAGGTTCTGCTACTGCTTTGCAACGGAGCTGCGTTGAACAAGGTTGTGCAGGCCGGTCCTTTAACGACTATACCCGACACACTCACTCCATTTGCAGGCAATCATCGGCGGCCTGTGCTTTGGTCCCCCACAGGTCACCGTCCTCACGCTGCCTCCCCCGCCCCCAGTGGTGGTGGTGGTGGCGCCGCCTCCTCTCATTGTCAACACGTACATAATCGGCGGCCTGCCCTGCGCCTGGCCGCCGGTGATCCCTTTCTTCGATCCCTTTGTCTTCAGGTGCGTGTGCTGACAAGGGTGGCGGCGGTGCTGGGGGCAACAGGGCGGCGCATGTGTCCGCAGCGCTCACCAGTCCCCGCAGGGTTTTGCTGCGCTCTCGTGCCGCATTCCAAGTCTTGTCCGCCGTACCTTCTGCGAGGCTGAAATCGAACCCCAATCAATGCTGCGGATAGTATCAGCACCATCTCAAGTTGTGCATAATTGCTGCAGCTCTGCCGCTCACCCCGCCCTCGGCTGCGCCCCGCCCGTGCCTCTCCGAATCCGACGAGCAGCAACACGGGCTGGTGGGGCGGCGACCGCGGGTGGGGCGGCGGCGGCTGGGGCGGCGGCTGGGGCGGGGGAGACCTATGGTGGGGGGCCGACCTCCAAGTCAGCGCCGGCATTCAGTTTGGTGGCAACCTGGGCTTCGGCGGCGGCTTCGGCGGCGGCTTCGGCGGCGGCTTTGGCGGCGGCTTTGACGGCGGGTTCAGCGCGGC